TAAACCCATACTGCCGCCTCCGGAAACTGCTTGAGTGTACAATAGTGAGCGCAAGCTACATTAAAGTGATTATTACGTTTTGAATATGTATATTTTTCTTACAAAAACGCATCGATTCGCTACAGAAGGCCTTTGTTCACCCCTCGGAGCCGTGTGAGACACTTTTTTATGGATGAGCGCTTTTTATTTAACTTGTTTTGGACTGCTGCATGCAACACCCGCTGAGTGCCATGAAACAGCTTGAAAGATCAAAGACAATTTTTTATATAACTCCGACTGGATTCATCTGAAAGAAGAAAGTCATATACACCTAGGATGACTTGAGGGTAAGTAATTTATGGACTAATTTTCATTTTTGGGTGAACTAACCCTTTAAGTATGAAGTAGGGCAGGCTATAGCAATATGTTAGCTTTTTTATTTTTTTTTATTATATATTAATCTCCTGCAGGAGGCGCAAGAATATAGTTTTTATGCCTCTCTACAATGACAATTCATTTTAGAGACGATTTGTGGTCATTCAAAATTAATTTGGTGCTCCCATTAAGAATCATATACTGATTATGATTATGACAGCAGCATGATTATTTGTGCAGCCAGCAATAAAGACACGTCATTAGTCTAAAAACTTCTCGGCTATTAATAGAACATGTGGTTCTCCTGGGTGAAGCTCACTAGATAGCAGAGGCGCACAGATGGAAAATCTGGCGTGAGAACTGTAGTCTAGTGCAGGGGTTCCCGACCACGTTCCAGGAGCCCCCCAACACTGCATGTTTTCCATGTCTCCTTAATCAAACATCAGGTGATTCAGATCATCAGCTCAGTAGAGATGCCAAGACCTGAAATGGGTGAGTCAGAGAAAGGAGAGATGGTCTAGTCAAGTGGTTGAAAACATGTTCCCTAGGCCCTGCAAGCAATATCACTACTACCATTGCTCAAATTATTAAAAGTAATAGACCATTTACTTACAAGGGGGAAAACATTTCAAAGAATCAATGAAAACATTTAGCAAATTAACATTTTCATTGCAGAGCACCCTCTAGCAGATTAAACAACACATAGTGGGTAATATTGGTGATCGTTGACTCTTAAAAGCCATACTTCACCTAAAAATTTTAACTGTCATCCTTTACCCACCCTCATGTTGTTCCAAACCTGACTTTGTCTTACTTTAAAAAAAAAACACACACACAAAAGGAGACGTTAAGCAAAATGTTCATGCAGCTCTTTTCCATACAATGTTAGTAAATTGGGATAAATGCTGTAAAGATTCAAAAGCGCAACAAAAAAAGCATAATATAAGAAATAATTCTATGAATATGAACGTATGGAATATTTCATTAATCAAACTAGTCTCCATCCTATAGAAAGTTTTAACAGCAGAATCAAATGGGTACCAAAGAGACAGTGCCTTTAAAGTGATTTTATTAAAAGCCTCTTTCAAGAAAAACACAAAGCAACAACAACATTATGACATTTAAATGACCTGTACAATTAGGGTTCTCAAATCATGCACCCGCTACATTACAATGTCATAGCAACAAGTTCATTATCATAATCAGCTTCATCAATGGCATTAACCTTACACATTACCAAACAGATAACTCGTATAAATCACACTTAGTTCTGTTTTTTGGGTTCTACATCCTCTCAAACCCAAAGTAGACTAGTAAAATTGAACAACAATGGCTCTAAAATAAAGGCAGCACGTATCATTCATTTCTACGGCATGGAAAAAGTAATAATAATAAATCTTAAAACAAACAAAAACACATCAGACACTGATATTTGAGGAGGTAACCTCCAGTATACCTTCATCCTAACCATTTTAAACAATCTCTTCTTGTCTGTGCAGTGAGGGCCCCTGGTGGCTACAAAATACAAGCCCTATTGCATGAAATGTAGGCCATGTTATCATAGTGCTAAGCTACCTCTTTAAGAGAAAACATCTTGCATCTTTTCACACCACAGTGACATCTATTTTCTAACATTAAAGATGTAAAGGTAAACAAGGACTTGACTGTTTGTATGTGGAACACTTTGTAGGCAAAGATACAACATCATGGGATTAAACAGAGCAGCTAAAGGCAACACATGCTTCGAAATTAGATATTATTGTACAGATCCACCACACGTGGCGCCCTATGTGGGGCAGCACCAGGGATATGTTCAGAACATTAATTATTTCAGACCTGGGATAAACGTATAACTATGATTAAAAATAATAATAATAAAATAAAATAAACATTTAAAGAACTTTGAAAAAGAAAAGAAGATTTAGAGTAGGCAAGTTCACATTAAGGTCTGGAAGCCGGTAAAATAAAACCATTTAACGTTATTAAAAGAAAGTTATTATATACACACATACACGTACTAAAAATATGAAAAGATTTAAAAAATTGTCAATATTTGTAAATAATTTGGGGGAAATCTTTTAAAAAGTCATAAAAATATTGTAAGGTTTTCATTTCTCCCTAAAGGCACAGAGATAGAGTAATAGTGCTCCATTAGAGGACGACTGTATGACTACAAGTGGAACTTAATTGTGTTCTATAATTAAATCTTATAATAAGGTTTGCCTTTGTCCTCCGGTGGAGTCTGACATTTCATCATCCTTCAGTACAACCAAGTTAGCTGCCATAAACTGTGTTTTAACCTGTTTCTTCAAGCCTAATGTGGCAGGTTACAATATTGCTTGCTGGACTGCCCAAAAAAGCATAAGCGAAAAGCTTCCCACAACTTTCATAAATTCAAAAATAATAAAATGGCACCATGCTGCAACTAAACCATTTAGCTTTCAGTAAAATGCTAAATATTAAATGAAGTTCACACAAACATTGTCATTATGTACTCACCTTCAAGCATTTTGAAACCTTCCTTCAGTAAAACATAAAAGGAGTTATTCAGCAGAATGTCCAAGCCCCTCTTTTCCCTACAATGAAAGAGAATGGTGGCCAAGGCTGTCATGCCAACTTTTTTCAGTCCATTCCTCACACATAGCAATAGAATGGCTTTAAACGTCTTGAAATACAGTGTACAAGTCATTTGTCTTTTTTGGAGATTTACAGCCCCTGGTCCCCATTCACTTTCACTGTATGTAAAAGAGCATGAACATGCTGGTAAACATACCATAAATTGTTCAGGTTTGGAATGACAAGATGGTGAGTAAATTATGACAGAATGTTCATTTTTGGAAGAACTATTCCTTTAACGTTAACTACAACTGACAGCAAGTGGTATATCTACTAAGGGTGCACATATACCATTTTTGTTTAAATAATGTGAATACCAATACTTCCTGCTTAGATAGATAGATAGATAGATTTGTTGCATGGACATTGGTATTGGAGCACTTTTATGAGTACACAGTATCGGACCAATTACAAAATATAAGTACTGACACATCCCTATCATCGACTAACTAAACAAGCTAGCTTTATCCCAGGTCTGTATTGTCAATGCTGGCGCCCAGTCGGACCTGCAGACAACATGGGATGAGCTCAAGGGACAACAAAATGCAGTCATCAGCATAACACACAATACATGTGGTGACTTGCCGCCACCTGCTGGTGGATTTAGTTTCATTTTTAGCGTATCATTTCAGATATTTAAAGGGATAGTTCACCCAAAAATGAAAATTTGATGTTTATCTGCTTACCCCCAGGGCATCCAAGATGTAGGTGACTTTGTTTCTTCAGTAGAACACAAATGATGATCTTTAACTCCAGCCGTTGCAGTCTATCAGTCGTATAATGCAGTGTTTCCCAACCGGGGTGCCGCGAGAGCAGGGGTGCCATGTAAAAAATATTTTTTAAATATTTTTAAATTGCTAAAATGTTCAAAAAAGCATGTATTATATAATATCCATTTCTGATGTCGCCAATAATTAGAGATGCACCGAAATTTCGGCTGCCGAAAATTTGTTCACCGCTCAGGTTTCACTTTCACGTGGTGTGACGTTCTGCGTATTATATCCCGCTCTACGCGTGTGCGCTCTGCTCAGTCGCTCCACTCTTATACCGTTCATGCTCATCGGAACAGCAAAGTCCACTCAAAAATTGAGCCGACAGGAAACATCGATGTAGTACAGTATTGTTTCTGTCTGCAATAGCCCTACTGTGTTGTAACATGAGGGCCTTTCGCACCGCGGGAACCTTTTCATAGTACCAGAACTAATTGTGGAACTACCCACTTTTTGGCATTTTCGCACCGCCGGAACTGGGTGCGATTTTAGTCTGCCTTTAGACTGCCTTTTTCGAGAACCAAATTAGCTCCTACTCCGGAACAGGGTCTAACCAGCACAACTGGTACTAATCGTGACGTAAGTAGACATTGATTGGCCAAACGCGTACGAAAATGCCCTCACCCGCCATGATTTAAAACGCTGTGTAAACATACTGTAAACATTGTGTCAACTTATTTCGCAAGTATGGAGAACAGCAATAGATGGACGGACGCTGAAGTGCAGGCACTTGTAGCAAATGTAGCACTGCCAGTTGTCGTTGGAGATTCTTAGTCCTCCTTTCCATTCTTTCAATCGCTTTACGTATACGTCGACTTTCCATGTCCATTATTGTGAAACCCACGAGATACAACAAAAACACAGCTCCGATCACCGCGTCCTCCAACCTCCTGTTGTTAATGTTGTTCTTCTTTGTTTCTGTTGTTGAACGCCGCGCACAAATGACGTCGCTGTCGACCGGCTTACGTCACTTCTTAGTACACACTGTCGGTGCGAATGCAACCCTTTAAATAGTATTTGGAAATAGTTCGCGCAAAATTGTCCCAGTACTTCAGTACTGTACATTTCGTTCTGGAACTAAAGCGGTGCGAAAGGCCCCATGATGTGGTATATGGGCAATTCTGGTAACGCTGCCCTCTCATTCATTGATCTGCTAACCGCTATGTTATGCTCACGTGTTCTGATAATAATAGCTTTCTAAGACTAAACATTATTTGGATAATTGGTAAATAAATAAATAAATAAATAAAAAAAAGTTAAATATCTTAACCCTACTGTTAGACCTACCTGAAAAACTAAAAAGCAATTTATTTAATTCGAAGGCCTGTCGTTATTTTTTATTTGTGCTATCATTATTCATTTCTTTATTTCTTATTTTATTACTGACTGCTTACTTGTCATTTTTTATTCAATTCAAAGTTTGAAATCAGTCTCGTGCTACTGCACCAAAATTACCCCACTGTAAAATTAAAAAAACACTGAGTGAGCAAAAATTTGTGAAATAGCTAGTTATAATGGTAATTAAATGTTTACATATGTATAAAAGCCTACATTAAAATCTGTCATATAAATTGGTCTCTTCATTATAAATTAGCCTACTGATTGCCACCATTGATGGACAAAATGTTTTAATAATATTAAAAATATCTGTATGACATTATATTCTGCAGTTCTTCCCTGTTGTACCGAATATCTACACTTTTCAAATTATCATATCGAAGTTAGAAATTCAAATATTGTGACAAAATTAATTTTGTAGGGTGCCGTGGAAAAATTTCCAAAGGGTGCCGCGACTAAAAAGAGGTTGAGAAACACTGGTATAATGCATGGCAATGGTAACAAAATCTATGGGTAAAAAAAACATGCACAGACAAATCCAAATTAAACCCTGCGGCTCATGACGACACATTGATGTCCTAAGACACGAAACGATCGGTTTGTGCCAGAAACCGAACAGTATTTCTATAATTTTTTACCTCTAATACACCACTATGTCCAACTGCTTTGAGCGAGTGTGCGGCATTTATACGCGTGCGAGAGATCACTTCCGACACTTGTGTAAACTACACCAGAGCGTGTACACACCTCACGCACCGGATGCCGTGCGCGCGCTCAAAGCAGTTGGACATAGTGGTGTATTAGAGGTAAAAAATTATAGAAATACTGTTCGGTTTCTGGCACAAACCGATCGTTTCGTGTCTTAGGACATCAATGTGTCGTCACGAGCCGCAGGGTTTAATTTGGATTTGTCTGTGCATGTTTTTTTACGCTCATAGATTTTGTTACCATTGCCATGCATTATACGACTGATAGACTGCAACGGCTGGAGTTGATCATTTCAAATGATCAAAAAATCATCATTTGTGTTCAACTGAAGAAACAAAGTCACCAACATCTTGGATGCCCTGGGGGTAAGCAGATAAACATCAAATTTTCATTTTTGGGTGAACTATCCCATTAAATCATATTTCTGTATTCAAAATGTTATATTTAAAACATTAATCTCCACATGAATAAGACAAATAAGTTACCAATCATATGAAATTAGTATTAATAAATTAATTTGTACTACAGATGGTGCACAGAAGATGACAAAAGTGGCTTGTTGGTACATTTTCAGACGTTTAATGAGGCTCAGAGGTGGCATGAGCGCAATTAACTTAATAAATTCATGTGGAGATTAATGTTTTAAATATAACATTTTGAATACAGAAATATGATTCAAATAACTGAAATTATACGCTAAAAATGAAACTAAATCCGCCAGCAGGTGGCGGCAAGTCACTGATTTTATCACTGAATCGTTAATTCAATTGATTCGTTCGAATGGCTGAATCATTCAGGAATGAAGCAAGTGACTGTCTTTATGAACTGACGGAAATCTGTCGTAGCGACGGAACTTTAATCCCAGTGAAACACAAACTATTGTAGTCAGAAGGCAAATAAGAGAAGGTACTTCTCCAATAAGGAAAGTGGGTAGTTGAGTACAGTGGGGCAAAAAAGTATTTAGTCAGCCACCAATTGTGCAAGTTCTCCCACTTAAAAAGATGAGAGAGGCCTGTAATTTTCATCATAGGTATACCTCAAAACACAACTTGATCCTGGAGAATTAGTAAAATACAGACAGATCTCAAATCTCCCTTTTCTGTCAAAAATACTAGAAAAGGTAGTCTCCTCACAACTATGTTCTTTCTTAGAGAAAAATAGTATCTGTGAGGATTTACACCGTATCATAGTACAGAGACTGCTTTCATCCGAGTTACAAATTACCTGCTCTTATCATCCGAATGTGGTTGTATCTCTCTATTAGTGCTACTGGATCTCTACCAAGGTTTTTTTCTCCATTTCTGTCAAAGGTGGAGTTTTGGTTCCTTGCCACCTTGCACTTGCTTAGTTGGGGACACAATTTCTTGCAACATTGTTGACTTGACTGCACAGACACTACTGGAAGAGAACTGAACTGAGCTGAATCAACAATGAACTAACTTTAACTGCTAAGCTGACTGTTTTCTATTGTCCTCTTACATTATCAGCACACGTTTTTCCTGTTTAACACTGTAAAGCTGCTTTGACACAATCAGTACTGTATAAAGCGCTATATAAATAAAGGTGTCTTGATTTGACTATTCAGTAAATCAGAATTAATTCACATAAGGTAAACAGTTTATGGCTACAGTTTGGGTCCATTTGTTGTCATTTACTTACCATTTGTTTGCAAATGTGATCTTATGCAAATTAGATTTGACAATCAAGTTTAAAATAAATATTATAACCACTTTATGGCAGTTATTAAAGGGGTCATATGATGTTGCTAAAAAGAACATTATTTTGTGTATTTGGTGTAATGAAATGTAAGGATTAAAGATTAAACGGGGAAAAAAATGATTGCACAACCATCAATTAGGTGGCGATATGCACTAAGCATGTAAACAACCATTGAACAAAAGAAGAAAGAAACTGCATGGCCTGCTTTTTCTTAGCATCCGTTTCCATAGTGACTCGTCGATTCGTGGCTCTGTTGAGAATGTCTTGAGTCTTAACCAGGAACATACTCTGAGTTGAATGAACTTACTCCCAGCCACGTTTTTGGAACCACATACCCCGAGTAAGCAAGGTTTGGGGTTAATCAGCCGAAAGTTCAGGGTTTAGCTGACGGTAAGTTAACCGTGCTTTCTGAAATACACCCCAGACCAACCAAGCAAAGTCCCCTTCTACTCAAACTACAGAAAAAGTTAGAAAACACTGTACAACTCTGAAACAGCACAATATAAAACCCAATACCCATTGCAATGTTTATATTTTAAAAACTTACTTTAGCGCCCAACCTTTCCATTTAACCAGGTACTCGATTCGACCCTACAAAGAGGAAAAACAGAGGAAAATGTTCTTTATTTAACACCAACTAAGCAATGCATGAGCAACACATGCTCTACTTCAAACCCCATGCCCATTTATTTCATTTTTGGGGCTCAGTAAAGTATATTTATGTAAATATACACTACTACAGCTCATAACACCTTAAACCATGTGGCACGACACTACTGTGCAGTATTTAAACTCCTCGACCCTCGTGCATTGTTGAGATCTTTGAATCTTGGGTCAGCCAGCATGCATTGATTTTGCTATGGACTCATGCCAGGTACTTTGTTCCTTTTTAGCCTCCTCCTGCTGCTCTTTTAGCGGGTCTGCTGTCAGTTCCCAGCACAGCACAACCCAATTTTACCAAATAAATCTGAAGTTTCATATCCAAATGTCCCACATTCGACTTGTTATTTCTAATCTGACAATGCAAGTAAATGTATTGGGTCGCAAAATCGGGAAACATCTGCAAGTAGGCCTCGCCCTCTTCGTCATTGCCGGGCGCCTTGAAGCTCCGCATCGCGAGACAAGCGAAAGACGACCCTCTCTCCGTACTTTACACCGTAAAAACATTTCCCAAACCCCCTAAAACCCCAATCCTCCTTACTCACTTTCCTAACGCGGCTTTTCAGAATGGCTTCCGCGGGGAAAACCTGCTCTGCAACCGCCGACACCTCCATCTTTTCGGCGCACTCGCTCCAGACGGCTCAGTCTAGCCCCTCTACACTCTACAAATCTCTGACAGCAACAAACCCCCGCGCTGTCACGTGCTCCGGGTCCACTAGCCCCGGTAATCCTAGAAACGGCGCGAAGGGTAATGAAATATTAGATCATGTACCCATAATATACATCTTGATACATAAAACAGATTCATAAATAATTTTTAAAGATGAAACTAATTTTCGTTTTCCCATATCTCAATAATAGAGGGATGAATTTTTTTTGATATTTTTGCTGGTTTGAGCAGATGTTGCCGTGCCACCCCAGATAAGTTACGTCTGCAAGATGTCTGTTAAAGATCACTTCGTCTGGAAAGCATCTGCTGTGTAGGCTACAAACATCCGATAGCCCTGCTATCACACATACATCACTGAGACGTCTACTTGATCTGCATCTGCAAGATGTATTTTTTAGAGTGTTTGCTCATTTACAATACGTCTATAGGACGTTACTATCAGATGTCTAATAGACGTTTAGAAAATGTCTCTAAGATGTTTATGATTTAGAATGCATGTAAAACTGACATCTTATAGACGTTGATCAGATGTTTGTACAGAGCAGATGAAGCGATCTTTAACATACATCTTGTAGACGTGCGTGTGCTATATCGGAGGCGTCTATAAGATGTCAGTTTTATACTGATACTAAATCACAAACATCTTAAAGACATTTTCTAAACGTCTATTTGACATCTGATAGGAAACGTCCTATAGTCGTATTGCAGATGAGCAAACACTCTAAAAAAAATACATCGTGCAAGATGTAAATACAGACATCAAATAGATGTCTGTGATGTGCGTGTGCTATCAGGGGGTTCCGTGCAATCATTTTGATTTTGTACCTGAAAAACATGAAAATCTATTAGGATTTGTTTTTCTTTGTGAAACTGAGATATATATTCCCTGATAGCACATGTACATCACGGAGATGTCAATTTGACGTCTGCATTTACATCTGCAAGATGTATTTTTATTTGCTCATCTGCAATACGTCTATAGGACGTTTCCTATCAGATGTCAAATAGATGATTTGAAGATGTTTATGATTTAGAATGAATGTAAAACTGACATCTTAGAGTCGTCTATCAGATGTTTGTACGCAGCAGATGCTTTCCAGATGAAGTGGTCTTTAACAGACATCTTGCAGACGTACATTAGGGATGGGCGTATCGATCTGAAGTATCGATTTATCGATACTGATGCGAGTATCGAAAGTATCGATACTCAAACAAAAAATATCGATACTAACGTGCGTTTTATTTACCAGTGGTTTTGTTTATTTAACAATAACAATAATAATAATAATGCATTAAATTGGACGAATAACCTTTGTTAGCAAGTAATTGTGTAGGATAGAACTATTTTCCTGCTCATCTGAACACACGCAAATGTTGCAAGACAGAACCAATCAATCACAGAGAGCATTCACTCACTGCTGACAGTGCATTCAAACAGGGCTGCGTTTCCCAAAAGTATCCTAAGAAAGCATTAAAGCTTTTGGGAATGGCAGCCCTGAACAATGCTTATCAGAGGACAGAAATAAAAACATAAATGTTTGAGTTATTTCACAATAAACAAATTGAAATTGTAGCCTACATAGTTTGTGCAATTACAATTATTTAAATTGAACGTTGAAAGATAATATTGATCATGTTCTATTCTGTAATGTTAATAGAAATCATACACTGTCAGAATAAAAAAAAGTTGGTTAAATGCAGAGCACAAATTCCGAGTATGGGACACCATACTTGGCCACACACTTCACTTTCACTTAAAAAATAGTGCAAGTTGCACACATGTTCTGGTTGCAACGCCGCGAAAATATTTCTGTTTTAAAGGGGTCATATGATGTTGCTAAAAATAACATTATTTGGTGTATTTGGTGTAATGAAATGTGATTATGCGGTTTAAGGTTAAAAAAACACATTATTTATTGTTTCTCCTCTATGCCCCGCCTTTCTGAAACGCGTAGATTTTTACAAAGCTCATCGGTCTGAAAAAGCGAGGTGTGCTGTGATTGGCCAGCTATCCAGTGCGTTGTGATTGGCCGAATACCTCAAGCGTGTGACGGAAA